TTTTTGAGACGGAGTTTCGCTCTTGTTACCCAGGCTGGAGTACAATGGCGAGATCTCGGCTCACTGCAACCTCCGAGTCCTGGGTTCAAGGCTTGTTGGCTTTTAATGCTCACATTCCTTCCTCTGTGACACTCTGCCTGGCTGATGTTCTCTCCCAGAGAGGCAAGAACCAGCTCAATAATCTCAAGTGATGGAGATGGTAATGAGATATTAAAATCTTCAATATCTACATCAAGGAAGAAGGGCATCGAGATTTTAGGGCCGAAGTAGAGTTCTATATCTTTTGCATTGCAAAGATCACCTCAACCTGTTAGAAGGATTCAGAAGTCATTAAAGATTAACACTTCAAGTAATCACAGACATGCTAAAAAAAAAAAAAAAATCTAAAGGGGAACTGAGACCCTTTGTATTGGAGGAAAACCACCATCATGTTAAGAAGAGATAGAGCAGCCGATATATATGTTGATTAAAATATTTTTCCCCCAATTGGTGCCTTTTATGTGGCATTGCAGTCAAACATCACGATTAAGGGAATAAAGATACAGCTACTAGGACAGCAGGTCACAATCAGACAATAGTGTTCACATTTGTACACATAAGACAAACTTCCACTGTGAAAATGTTTCCAACAGAGTTAAAAGGGAAGAATCACATCAAGCAACTATGGTTAGTATTGCGCTGCATTTAGGATATATTTAACGGATAAAAAGCCAATGACTAGCCAGGCACAGTGATGCATGCTTATCTATAGTCCCAGCTACTCAGGAAGCTGAGGCAGAATGATGGCCTAGACCAGGAGTTCAAGGCTGCAGTGCAGTGAGCTATGATCTCATTTAACTGTTAGGATTGCATTTGAATTTGTGTATGGATAAGGGTAATCAACCAATTATGTAATATAAGGTAACACTGCTAATACAGGTGCAATAGTTAAGTGGGAAGAGAATGTAATTATAATTTTCTGAATTCCTCACCTTACCTTGTTTACAAATACATAGCCGACATATGGGATATGATTTTTCTCATCTGATTACTAAATTTATTAAAAGTCTAACATTAAAAATGATGGTATTTTACCTGTTTGGGTTTTTTTCTTTTAATTATGGTGGTTAGAATGTTTTACTCTTTGGTTCTAATTCTCTGGGGTCTGAAGTTGGCTTAGCAACAAGAATTGGCTTTCATTAGGCCCATACCTCACTGGAGTATTCAGCACAGAAATCAAAAACCAGTAGGCTGAGGGCCAAGCTTGGCCAGCACTGAAGTGAGTTATGTTTGGCTTGTGCTGGTTGCTTGTTTTAAACATTTGAATTCAAATGGCTTTAGTTGAGGTTTGACTGCATTCTTTCTCCACTGCTTTATGGTCTCACATCCAGCCCAGTGCCCATAGTTTGTCATCTAGGTGGCCCTTGAAAGAATTTGCTTCCACAATCCTTGAAGGGAATGCAAAAATATTTCCATTCTTTTGATTATACTTCTAATTCCTACAGAAGGCATATTAGTTATTCATACCTCAGGATGAAATAGTTTAGTCAGATTGCTTTTCTCTTCAAGTCAAAAGTCCAGCCTGGAGAACCCGGAGTTTTTCTGGTAGAGAGCATATATCCTTAAAGCTTAAATGGCGAAGGGCAAAGGGTAAGCAGAGCTTAAATGGTGGAGGGAAAGGGTAAGCCGAGCGGGACCAGGTAGAAGGGAGCTTTGGGTGATCAGAGCACCACGCCAGGGAAGATAGAGTCCCCACTGGTGACCTGATGAGTAGTATGGCTATGAGAAAACTCAGTATTTCATGGTCAATGTATACACTCTTCCACATATCAAATTCTGAGACACATCAGTTGAAAAATGGAAAAATGGAAAAAAAGTATTGCAATTCTGTGAGAATTAAAGCTTAGCAATTAGCAGAGGCCCCAGTGGTTTGAGGGATTCATCGAGGGATCCACTGAAGGCAAGATCAGCTGACACAGCTGTTGAAGGTTGAGGTCAACATTGCTGAGAGCAAGGCGAGGAGCACCTGAGAGAAGGTGCTGTGGGCTGATCAGTCTGCCATGCTTGGAACTGATACCATGTTACAAGTGTGTGTTCCTGGACCTGTCTGCTGCTACTTGGGAGGAATTCTTGCAAATAAAATACATATTAAGAACTTTACACTTTTTAGGTCAAGTGTGGTGGCTCACACCCATAATCTAAGCACTTTGGGAGGCTGAGGCAGGTGGATCACTTGAGGCCAGCAGTTTGAGATCAGCCTGGCCAGCATGGTGAAACCCTGTCTCTACTAAAAGTACCAAAATTAGCAGGGGATGATGGCAGGCACCTGTAGTCCCAGCCATTTAGGAGGCTGAGGCAGGAGAATCACTTGCACCTGGGAGGCAGAAGTTGCAGTGAGCTGATTGTGCTACCGCACTACAGCCTGGGTGGCAGAATGAGACTCCATCTCAAAAAACAAAAAAAAGAGAAAGTTTTAAAAATAAAATTAAAAAAAGAACTTTATACTTTTTATAGCATAGTTTGCAGACCCTAAGAGTGATGTTCCAAGAAGTAACAAATTTGGAAGCAAAAAAATCTATAAATTGGTAATTTTGAATTGTGATTTCTATGTAACATTCTTAGTTTTGCTGGGCTAGATTTGAATGTTAGATTATTCAAAAACTACTTAGTAATGTTTGCTAGCCTTTGACAAAGTTTGGATATTTGCTATAGGTTATAGTTCTTTGTAAATACTACTAGACTGAATATTTCCTATTTTTTAAAAAATGTTAAATCTAGTCATGCACAGTGTCTCATGCCTGCCTGTAATCTCAGCATTTTGGGAGGGTAAGGCAGGCGGATTACTGGGAGTCAGGAGTTCGAGACCAGCCTGGCCAACATGGTGAAACCCTGTCTTTATGAAAAATACAAAAATTAGCTGGGTGTGGCAGGGGGGTTCCTGTAATCCTATCTATTCAGGAGGTTGAGGCATGAGAATCGCTTGATCCTGGGAGGTGGAGGTTGCAGCTGGGTGATAGAGCAAGACTCAGTCTCAAAACAAACGAACAATGTTAAATTCATAATAATGAGTAAATAACTTCCGAAGTCTTATTTCCAAGTTCTAAGTGTTAATATTTATTGAGCATTTGAAAACACTACGAAGAATGAGGGTATAAAAAGGTAAGAGTCTGTTTTGAAATTTTGCCTTGGGCCAATCTTGTTCTTGCAGGAAAAATAACAGCCTCCAGGAGGCATGGGTTTCTACCAGGAAGCAAAGTTATTGAGTACATGTCACAGCCTAAAGAAGTCACAGGGATTTGCTCTTGTCTGTTTCCCGTGTTCTCAGGTTCATCTAGAAACATCACTTTACTTCTGTCTTGGCTGACGATTCAGCTCATGTACTGAAGGAAGCTTAACTGAATGTGGCAACCTGAGCTGCTGTTTTGGTCATGGAATCAGATGTCTTTTACTGTTCTGAGATCCAAAGAGCCCAGGGTGAAATAACAGGATCTGTGGCTTCCCATGTGTCAATTGCATGGTTTCCAGCATGGACCAGTTTCAGTGGGACAAGATGTGATCAACCATCTCAGGTTCTCCAAGTGCAGTGATCCCTCTTTTGAGAAGAAACTATTCTTTATCATCATTGAGATGAATTGTGAAATAAGGGTGTCTGCATCTGATGCCCTGTGATCCTGGGATGCTGGCAAGCAAAGACAGGGTGTGAATGAAATTTATCAGGCACATGTTTAACTTCTCACTTCAACCCAAATTAAAATGGAAGCCTCCTTGGTTGCTCATCAAGCCCAGTATTGAGGTGTTCGCAAGTAAGGACAAAGTCAGAAAACAGCTCATGGCTCTTATACTTTAGGGAGTGTAATAGATAATGATTGGCCTCTGTTCTACTCCCTTTAAAGAAAAAAACGTGGGATAATGCGGATACAGTTCCCACTGCCACAAATTATGCCGCTGCGTTTCCCACATTTGAGGAAATCACAGGGTCAGCACATCTGGAGTGCAATGAGTAGACCTCACCCTGGGAAAACCACCTTCATGATCATGGCATGTCACCTACCAGGTAAGATCTGTTTCACTCATGTTTTATGTGTGTGACCAGGGGAGGGGAAAATTGAAATTAAATTTTCCTTTTAGTCTAAGAGAACCACTCATTTTGATGTAACAAACATGAGTTGATTGTTATATCATGTATATAATTAGATATAGATGTGCATGCAAAATTTTGATCCGTAGATGTGGATGATATAGATGGAGTGGGTGACGTCGAGGTAGTTGATGTAGATATTGTAGGTCCTGTAGATGTAGCAATTGATCACATAGATGCCAATGTAGAGTGGACAGTGTAAATATATATACAGATGTAGACAGTAGATGCAAATATGGATGCAGGTGCGCGTGGCACAGCTGTAAACATGGATGCAGGTGCGCGTGGCACAGCTGTAAACATGGATGCAGGTGCACGTGGCACAGCTGTAAACATGGATGCAGATGCGCATGGTACAGCTGTAAACATGGATGCAGGTGTGCGTGGCATTGCTGTAAACATGGATGCAGACGAGGTTAGTGATGTAGATTAGGGTTTCTCAACCTTAGCACTATTGATATTTTAGGCTGGATAGATCTTTGTCAAGGACTGTCCTGTGCATTGCAGGATTTAGCAGCATCCCTGGCTAGGTCCCAAGGGCATTTCTTTCCCCAACCCTGAGTTGTAACAATGAGAAGTCTTTCTGGATGTTGCCAAATGTCCCTGGTGTGTAAAGTTGCCCCAGTTGAGAGCCACTGGTACAGACAGTGTAGATACAAATGTTGATGTAATGTCAGCATAGGTATAGGTGAAGCAGATAGTAAAGATAAAAATGTAGCTGTAGATGATAAAGCTGTGAACACAGATATAGGTGGAGTATGTGTAAATAGAGAGGCAAATGATATTATAAGATACAGCCTATAGATAAATGATAGAGCTGTAAACGTAGATGTAGATAAAGGTAGATGTTATAAACTTTATGATCAGGGCAGAAAAATATAGGTGGTGATAATGCAGATGGCATTTGTTTGACCCTTCTTTTGTTTTGTTTTGAGATGGAGTCTCACTCTGTCACCCAGGCTGGAGTGCAATACAGTGATCTCGGCTCACTGCAACCTCTGCCTCCCAGGTTCAAGCGATTCTCCTGCCTCAGACTCCTGAGTAGCTGGGATTACAGGTGTGTGCCACCACACTCGGCTAATTTTTGTATTTTCTTTAGTGATGGGGTTTCACCATGTTGGCCAGGCTGGTCTGGCATGAGCCACTGCACCCTGCCTGCCCCCTCTTTTGGAAACACTTCCAGACCGTGGGTAAGCAACATCCTGTTAGGAATAGTTTAAGTGTGATGTTGCCTGGAGACTGAGGAGCTGCCCAGGTGACATATTAAGGTCCTTTTTGACAAAACCATCTGATCCTGAGATATCACAATTTCCATTAAAGGCTGATATTCAGGGTGAAAAAGAAAAAAAAATGAATGAGGAAAACCAGCAAGACATGAGACTCAGACATATCTCTTCATTAATATAAGATCACATGGCAAACCTCAGTTGGTCTTTCAATTCCTTTAATAAATCTTAGTAGGATGTTCATACACCAGACAAAACTAAGCAAGTGTTTCTGCTTTCACCAACATCCCAGCCTCTTACAGACATCCCCAAGTTGCCAACTCATAGCTGGCTGACCCACAGTTTAAGTAAATTCTATCCATAGTCCTGAAGGAACCTGACCTCTGTCCCCAGAGAAAAGAAACGTTCTATTCTCCCAAGATCATGGTTCTCTACCAATTCCAGACTCAATAAATTTAGCAAATTGTAAACCTCTCCAAACCATTTTTCAGTACCTGCTGGAAGTGCATTGGCTGTGAACTGCGGCGTTTCCAAATATCCAGGACATTTGCTGAACGGAAGGAAATGAGAGTCAGTCAATCAGTCAGCATTGATTCGGTTATTCCAGGGCTGTGGACAGGGTCTGTGGGCTGCTGGTGAGTTATCTGGCAGAGCTGAAAGAAGATTAAACTGGAGTGACTCTGTAACATGGTTGGAGAGGTATTGGACAGTAAATAGTGAAATAAGCAATCTGTGCCAATTAGAAATCTGGTTTTGTGGGTGGTGAAGAATGTGCACCTCCTGATTGATTCTGGGAAGATTTATGCTGGGCTTTGGATGAGTGATGACCAGAAAGTTTGTCCACAAGTCTGGAGGATGGGAGTGGTCACAGAACAGCAGGTGCTATGGGTGCCCTGCCCATGCCCCCTCGGGCCTTAGCATTTTGTGCACAGCACCTGACTTCCAAGTGCCAGCATCTGCCTAAAGAAGGCAAAGGCCTGAAGGCTTTGTCTGGTGGCTCTGCCCATTCACACAGCAAGCTGAAAGTGCTGAGAAATTAGTCCCCTCCCAGTTTCAGCCTTCAACCAAAGATGGACGGGGACTGCTGTTGAAATACCCAGTTGCCTCACTCCTTGTGCAGGATGACTCTGAGGCTTACATTCTACCCTGGCTCCAGTAGGCTTAAATTCCAGGTGCCCATAGTGGTAACTTGCTTGCAAATGTACCTTTTACTGCTTCTTTCCCTCTCCTTCTCAGTTCCTTGCGTTCTCACTCAAATCAACAACTTGCACTTGAATTTGTGCCTCAGAGTCTGTTTCTGAGGGGAACCAAAGACACACAGGCCATGGATAGATTCTCTGAAGGTCCTTCTGGCTCCTTATTTTCTATCTTGTAATCCATTAAGCCAATCAGAAAGCAGAGAAGTCAGGATCTGCCAGACATTCTTACCTCAGAAAATTCAAGGGCATCTTTTCCTGGCAACAAAGAAACTCTGTGCCTTTGGGAACAGCTGCCACAGTGTCAGCTCTGGCCTCATGTTACTTAACCATACACATCCACACCTCCCCTTATGGAATTTGAAAGAGATCAGAAATGCACTGAAATAACAATGGCAGAGTCCCGGCTGTCATCTGAACACATCCTTCGTGTTCCAGTTCATCTCTGTCCCAGTCTCATATGTGGCAGCATGACATACTTTTAAGTGCAGGTCTAACTGCTAATGGAACCCTTGGAGAAGAAGTTTCAATGCCCCTGGAAGCTAATGGGCTCACACTAAGCATCTGAGCAAAAGTCAAGTGGACAGATTGATCTTCAGTTTTCCCCCAGAAATTGGGCCAGAAGGAGGCAATCAGTGAACCAGCAAGACAGAAGAAACTGTTTCCCCTTCAGTGAGGTTAAAGCCTTTGCAAACTCAGCACTTAGAACAGTGTTTTTTGGGGGGTGTAATCCATTTTAGGAGTGATAGGAAATGCGTCCATATTTTGTAGAAATAAAGTAACTGCTGGGCACAGTGGCTCATGCCTGTAAACCTAGAATTTTTGGGAGGCTGAGGTAGGAGAATCACTTGGGCCTAGGAGTTCGAGGCCAGCCAGAGCAACATAGCAAGAGCTTGTCTCTACAATAAATTAAAAAATAAAAAACTAGCCAAGCATGATGGCTCATGCCTGTAGTCCAAGGTACTCAGGAGGCTGAGGCTGGAGGATCACTTGAGCCCAGGAGGTCAGAGGCTGCAGTGAGCTATGACCATGCCACTGCACTCCAGTCTGGGGGACAGAGTGAGACCCTGTCTCAAGAAAAACAAAACAAAACAAAAAACTGTTGGTGATATCTGTATGCTCACAGAAGTCTAAGTGGGGAGGTGAAATAGTCATTTGTGATTGTGGGGGTTACATCCCAATGCCCTTCCCTCCGTGACATGGTCATGAAGGCAGGCAGGAGCTCCTTCCTACTACAGAAAGAGCTGAGCCCGTTGCCTTTTCCCTGGTCCCTGCCCACTAGAGGACAGTCACATTATCCAGCCTCAGCAAATCAAATGCTCGCACCCAGAACTTTTAATTTAGACTCAGGGACAGTTTAGAATTTGAAGCAGCAGTGACATCTGGCTCCTGTGTTCAGTTGTGTTGATGTCCAACCGCCAGAGTGGAAGCAGGGTCTCGTTAGGGACATCCTATCCAGACTGTCCCTGAAGCATGGCCTAGGCTGTGTCCTTGCTGCCCAGCCTCCCTCAGCAACTGCCTGATTTCAAAACTTGGGTTACCCATCCTGTCGGTTATCCTTCTATTAAAATCAGCCAGAATCCTTTTCTGAGAACCGTGAATGGCACAGAAATTGATATCCCATATACACAGAGCTTCTTCTAGAGGTCAGAGACCTGGGCTCTTGTCCAGGAGGCATCTAGATAGCTGTGGCGGCCTTTGTCTCCATCCCTTCAGGGGGCTTGACTGCTTACTTGCTGAGATGATTTTCCTGTTTTATGATTTGTCTTTGATTCTCCCTGAAGTGTCAGCCAGTGAAAACCCAAAGCTACCTGAGCTTCTGTATTCTTAGTGGTGAGGGGTATAGAAAAAGATGTTATCATGTTACAGTCACAGATGGATCTAGTTCAAATCGAATCACTTGGGTATCTCAAGCCATATTAAGTTCCCCACTTTCCCGCTATGCCCACTATATGTCTGCAGGGGTCCCCAAAGAAATGAATGTACCTGGCAAACACTGCTTTGGCACATCGAGGGCAAGAACATCCATGGTTCATTTAATAACATTCACAGATATCTGTTCTATGAATGGGCCCATTGGAGACAAAGAGACTCAGAGGTGATAAGATGGTGAGAGTGACTGCCACTTTTTAAATACACAGTAATCTAAATAGTTCTGGAGCGCTGACAAAAAGTCTGAGGAGTGGAAATGTACCTCTAATAGGCATAGATCATGGGTATTTTTAGGGGGAGGAAGTAATTTGTTTTTAAGCCACAGTCACATTATAGCAAAGGCATGGAAAAACTGCTTGAAACATTATGGGTCAGAAAACCTTTTATAGTTAATGGTAAACCAATCTATTTGGAGAGTGGCTTAAAAACAGCTTTTAAGGGAGAGAGAGACTGCTATAGTTTGGCTTAAAAGGTATGTTGGCCGGGCACAGTGGCTCACGCCTGTAATCCCAGCACTTTGGGAGGCTGAGGCAGGCGAATCACGAGCTCAGGAGTTCGAGACCAGCCTGG